ATGAAAAAAGTTAGATGCTTTCACTGTCTGTGAAAGCGAAGCGCTGCTGAGTTAGCTGTCGCCATCGGATTTCTTATGATTTATGCAGCGCTGTTATATTACTGACGATTAGACAGACATCTTCTGCCGCTCAGAGGAAACCACTGCGCATGTCTGGAGCTCCGCGTGCGAGTGAAAGGTGGGGAGGGCAGGAGGGAGTAACAGAAACACGTAATTGGTTGGATTTTAATCGGTGCGTTTTACATCCACTGAAAACAAAGATGTTAACAAATAAACTGGACAGTATGCTGTACGTTTAGTGATATTTTCACAGTAGCGGTCTTGACTGGTCTTGAAATAAAATGCCGAGTCCTCAGCGCCCGAGACCGAGACCATCAAAAAATGATCTCGAGACCAAGACCGATCTCGAGTACGACAACACTGTATTACACAGCTATTATACAGCTTCAATCCCACATAGTACATCCCACATTTGCTAAATAGATGTTATAACATCTATTAAGCAAGGTTTAGTAAAAACAAACAAAAAAAAAACAAGAGTGTAATTAAAGTAAAATATTTTAAAGTAAAAGGACAAAACAGCCCACAGAACAACGTATTTTGTCCTGATTAACAGCCAAACAATGACTTGTTTACTGTGGTAACGGCATTGCAGTTAGCGAACTAAAGCCATTTATACATATATTTACAAACTGCCTGTCATGTAAGCTAAAAACATGAAGTAATACAGCAGCTTAATGAAAGCCAGGTATAAAAAAAACATTAAATAAAGCTTATCGTAATCTTCGATGAAATAACACATGAAACAAAAATTCTCCATCTCTTTTCTGTCCTGGTGGAATCTCGCCTCCTGTTCGTCACTCATTGATCCCAGATTCTCAGGAAACTGATCCACATGTGAGAACAAGTCGTGCATTTTGATGCTCATGTTGTTCCATAGTTCAGAAAGTTGACCTGATTGAGCAAAACCAATGTGATTTTTGGATTTGGTGTAATTATTGATATCAACCGATATGAAAGGTTTATATTGTGATTCATTCTTCAGCCATACAGCCCAAACTGATTTTTCTGTTACTTTTCTCTCATATGACCTCAGTGCTTTCTGCTTTTTAAAAAAATCCAGGGAAGAAATCTCCAATCTTCTAAAAGCCTCGGCTGTTGTGGTGTGGAGAGTTTGGTGAAAGAGCAGGAGCCTTGGATTTTAGAGACCATGTCTGATGGAGAGTTTCTCTCTACATCAGTCACCTTCACACGAGGCTGTAAAGCCAGAGCAAGTCTACCTGCAGCACGTTCCAGCTGTCAAACAAGAGACAAGCTACCAGGTAGACAGAAACACATGCACTCAACTGCACATTAAAGCAACACATATCATTAACATAGGTGACAGCAGTTGATGTTTCTGAACATGGTGTTCATTTTCTCACATTTAGACCCACTGAGCTGGTGCTTCTTCACACTGTCATACAGGATAGAAAACAGTGTGACAGGAGCATTTCATTTCAAACTCCTTAAAAGGTTTATGGAATGATTGCACGTTGACATCTTGAAGGAAGGAAGTTTTTTTTTATATACATAAAAAAGCAAAAAAGAAAGCCTGACTTTTTCTGCATTTTGGCCTGTTTTCCACCACTGGAGAACCTGACATCTGCTGTGAGCTGCATGGGTCAAGGTTTCTACAACATATTTTTGCAGAATGTCTCTTCAAGTTGAAAGGACTGCTAAGCTTTGCAGACCTACAACCAGGATTCAGTTGCATATCAATTATGATACAGCCAGATGCCACTGATTACAGAATGCCAGTTGATAAAAAGTTGAAGAAAGCAGCAGATTGCATCAAGTCTTCATTTTGGTACATTCATTCATCCTGAGCCAGCATGCTGTGGTGGAATCACTCTCTTAACAGGAAAACATCTTAAAAAAAAACAAGCTTAGGATGAGTCAACCTGGCCCAGAATAAGTGACCTAGATAAACTTTTGCCACCTCTGAGTAAAATATGTTTTACCAAATTAGAAGGAGATGGAGGGAGTGTTTTATCCTGCATTTGATGAAATGTATTTCTGAAGCTAAAATCACATTTTCAACTTTTTTCTGTTTATTTGTATTTAGTTTATTCTTCTCTACTCCAGGGTTTACAAGCCCATACTTCTCCTGCTGTGACAGTTCTGTTAAGTTCTGCCTGTGTGTGCTGTCAGGTGTGCTTTTCCTGCAGTATGAGGGGGAGACAAAGCAGGTCATGATTTCAACTGAAGTCAGCAGCCAAGACACCCTGCAGGCTCTGTTTGTCACTGCCTTTCCCCATCAGCTCACCATGAAGATGCTGCAGCCTCCAAACATGGCCATCTGTATCAAGGACACCAAGTGTAACATGTACCATGACCTGGAGGACCTCAGGTGAGGGGCTGTTGAAGTAGACTTAAGGTATATCTAAAAAATATATAATATTGATAATTCTGTTTATTGTCACTCATTTTAGCAAGTGAAACTCATATTGCTGTACACAGATTCATTTCACAGAGTAAGATGTGTTCTTGTCATTTTGATTATGTTAAGAATCCAAAATTCAGTGTTCATAAAAAATGAATGTGTGAAAAAGGTAAACATTGGAAACACACGTCTTACCTGAACTAAGGAAAAAAAGACCTGGACCGCTACTCAGTAATCTAACATTCTCTTTTCTAATAAGTTCACATTTCCTGTGGAAATCAAGGTCATAGGGTCTGGAGGAAGAGTGGAGAGGCATGGAGCCCTCTAAGGGACATGGGGACATTTTTTTCTTTTGCATTCCCTCACAATAATGTACTGATCAGTTCATGTGGCATAATTGAATACTGTAAGGCTTACAGTACAAGCCTTTCTTATGGTGGCCATCATACTTTCTGCCTTCGGTCATCGTAAGTTTTTCCATGTATGTTAATATCTTGTTGTGAAATATCTGAAGTTTTATATATTTTTCTTTAAATGCACCACAAACCTATGACATAAATGCTTTAAGGCTGCTTTAATATGCAGTTCAATCTCAACCTTACACAAACAGATGTAAACATGCAGTGAATAAATACATTTTCAATCAGTTTTTTTTGCATCAAAAAATAATAAACACTTTTTAACGGAGGCTTTATATATTTGACATTTTAAATTGACATTTGTGACTGTGTACAAATAGACCAGCAAATATTGCAGTCAGCATATTGCAGGGGAATGCAAAAGAAAAATGTTCCCCCATGTCTCCTACAGAGTTCCATAGAGAGGAACTCCAGAGTGAAGTTTCCTGTCAGTGATGGTTTGGGATGCCATGTCATCTGCTGGTTCTGGTCCACTGGGTTTTCTGAAGTCCACAGTCAATGCAGAATCTACCAGGACATTCTTGAGCGCTTCATGCTTCCCTCTGAATGCAGATACTGATTTTATTTTCCAGCAGAACTTGGCACCAGCCAAGGTACCAGAAGCTGCTTCAGTGGCCATGGTGTTCCTGTTCTTCATTGACCAGCAAACTGGCCTGACCTTTGACCCCAAAGAGAATCTGTGGGGTGCAAAAAGAGCCATACCCAAGTACTGAGTGCAGAGAAATGAACATATTTTTCAGCAGCCTGATATTTGTGTTCAAATTACACATATTTGTTGATCATATAGAAGATTTTAATTTTCTGACACCAAACATGGGGTTTCCAATATCTGTAAGCCATATTCATCAACATTACAAGAAATTGAAACTTGAAATATTTAATAAGTGAGTTTCAGTTTTTCAAATGAGTGAAAACACATTCAACTTTTTTTAAATATTCTAACTTTTTGAGGTGCACCTGTCCTATGCATTAACACAAATCTACATCTGTCTGTCTGCAAGAAAAACCACCACGTTACTTTGTTGAAAAGTTTTTAAAGTTTTGCATCTATTTACTTCATTCAGTTCTAACCCCCCCCTTGTTCTTGCTTCCAGAGACATAACACCAAATTCCTGTCTGAAAGCGTATCATAAAGACCCTGTCCATGTGTTCTGCCCCTCTGCCAGGCCTGCCAACTCTGAAGGAATGGTAAGTCAAAGGATAAAATTCCTGAAGAAATTTAGAAGGGGCCTGCAGCCTGGTGCGTGGTTTTTGGACCAGAGCAAAAGGTTCTGCACAGTGGAATTCTCTGCCTCAATTAATTGTTGTGACCGGCCACAAACATTTATTTTTTTTATTTCTCCATAGAGTTAACTTTCAACTTCTGTAATCTTTTAGTAGATTTGGTTAACATCAGATACTTTATTTCATTTCTTCTGTTTGCTGAGGGGGAACGTTGTGCATTAATAAATATTTTCAACAACACAAATGTAAATGCAGCCATCTTCAGTAAAATTAATAAAATCAGTTCATTGCAATGATTTTAGCTGATTAACATTTCAAAGATTTAATTACTTTACGAAGAAGCTCATGATGAAATGACTTCTTACTACACTGCAAAAAGAAATTAGTTCAACCAACTTAATTGAATTGCTTCAACTGGTAACAAGCAATTCAATTAAGTTTATCCAACTTAATTCATTGAGCTTAACCAACTCAAGTTATGTCTGTCCAACTAAATTTACCAATTTTTCAACCTTTTGAGTTAGTAACTGATTAGGACATAAAGCATTGGGCTTCTAATATTTACCTTTTCCAAAATATTCAAATTTTCTGAGTGATTTTGGATTTCTGTCATTATTATTTCACTTTTCTGAAATGAGTGGCAAAAAATATTGAACTTTTTTTCTAATATTTAATTTCTGTTACATGTACTTGTTGTACCCTATTTTAATTTTGTTCCTGGCTCACTCAAAGACTGAGAAGCTGAGCAGCTTTCTCCTGAGAAATCTGCTGGAACTTTATTTCACCTCATGTTGCAGAGATATATGAGGAAAGATGGGTTCAACCACAGTAAGCAGAGAACTGGAGTCTAGTTGCCTGTGGGCCGAGTAGCACCAAATATGTCACCTTGCTATGAGTAATAATTCTTCTCAGGTTTAAAATTACAAGAAAGGACACTTATGTATCTCTCTGAGATACATAAGTGTCAGAACATTCCTCTGTAGATCTGAAATCCCTACAGAATAAGAGACACTTAAAAAACAGACATACCATGCTATTAGCTTCCCACTGAAATTATGTTTTACTTACCTTAATCATTATAATGCTATTCTCATGCACTGCATCTTTCACTGACTTGTGTGGAATCTATAGTAAATTATTTGCCTGGTCAAATAATTTAATAATTGCCTGGTTAGACTCTCCAGTCCAGCACTCAACTGGTTCAAATCTTAAAGAACAGGGATTTCTTTGTTTCAACAGGGAACTTCTCATTGAAGCGGACAGAAGTTACATGTGGTGTACCCCAATGTTCAATCCTAGGACCCCTCTTATTAAAAATCTCCAACTAGCTCAGGTTACAACAAGAAATAAAAGTAGCTACCATAACTACACAGATGATACACAGCTCTACATCACGATGTCACCTGGTGACTCTGAACCCCTCCAATCACTGAATAGGTGCTTAGAACAGATAAATGTGTGGATGTGCCAAAACTTTCTCCAGCTGAACAGAAACAAGACTGAAGTTATTATCTTTGGACCTAAAGAGGAGCGAACTAGAATCATTGCACAGCTTCAGTTATTACAACTGAAAACCAGCGATCAGCCCGAAACCTGGGAGTAGTGATGGACTCTGACCTGAACCATCAGAGCCACGTTAAGACAGTCACAAAGTCGGCCTTCTATCACCTGAAGAACATCTCCAGGATTAGAGGACTGATGTCTCAGTGAGATCTAGAGAAACTCATCCATACATTTATCTTCAGTCGTATCTATTATTGTAACAGCGTCTTCACAGGTCTGCCTAACAAATCAATCCTCCAGCTGCAGCTGATCCAGAAGCTGCTGCTGCTGTTCTCACTAAAACCAGGAAGATGGAGCACATAACACCAGTTTTAAAGTCCCTACACTGGCTCCCTGTAGCTCAGAGACCTACAGAGACCCCTCAGGTTCTGGTTCTGGTTCTGCTCTGCATCCCCAGAACTAATGTCCAGCTAATGTCGTTCACTAATAGATCTTACATCATACATCTGAAAATGGATTGGGTAAAGACAGCTTCCGTGTTTTAGTGAAAAACTGATATTATATAGTATATTTGAAGAGATGTGAAAATGAAGATATCTGCTGCATTTAGTGTTAAGGACAAGTGTTGTAGAACCTCTGCCACTAAACTGTCAACTTTTGATGTTTTGAGGTTTGAACACATTATTTACTTAGTTAAACATTACATTAAGTAGTGTTAAAGCACATGGGCTAGCCCACATGTAAAGCTGTCTACATGTCATGATGTGAATTATCAGCTGTTACATAACAGTGACTGAAGTCACACAGCTTGTAAAATTCTGCTGATTTGCTACGGTTGAATCTCTAGAAAGCTTCATGTGTCAAACACCACCACTCTCTTCACATGTGTTCTCCGCACGTAACTTGGTCTGTCGTTTAACACTCCACTTTAAGGAGTGTTATTTTTATTTTATTTTATTTTAATTCTTTGCCATTTTAACAAAATAGCAAAAGATTATTTAGGCACCTAAAAAGGCATACTTCATTAGCCTAAAGTATACACTGAGATGTAACCTAAAAGATACTGAAATTTTAGTATATTTAATAGTTTACTTTTAAAGTAAGCTTTAAGTGAATTAAAAAAAATCTATTTTGAGCATATATTAAAATATACACAAAATATCCTTAAAAGCATATTGTTTCATTGGTACACTTGATACACATATTTTGTTCACTTATATTTCTTTAAAGTGTATTGTGGTACAATTATATTTAAATGTGTTTAAAGTTATAAAGTCAAAATGGGTACAAGCATGATGTTAGTATACTTTGTATATATTTATTTGCCATTAATGGTGGAACAGTACATGTCAGATAATCCAGGAGGTTTACTGTACTCTAATTTACTTCTTTAACAAATGATGTTATTGTATGGTATGCATGTTAGGTTTTCACCACACCTTCAGCAATTTTTCTATATAGTAAACTAAGCAATTCTGCAATTAGGTGTGAATGTGTCTATTATAAATTGTAAAATGCTGTTTTGAACTTTGATAATATCTGAAAGATTATGTTTCTAATCTAGATTTACTATTTGCAGCCTTTTACCCTCAATCAGATTGTAATCGTAAATTGATCCAAGAGAACTGTTGCCTGTGTGAGAAGTGCACCATTTATCACTTACATCAACACCAACAGCATACCTATTAACTAGGTATGCTAGTTAATATTATTTTAAAAATAAAAAATATATATATATTTATTCAAAAGATGTTTTCTAATAGTCCTCAATAATATCAGATATATATATATATCTATGCCATTCTCTTAAGGATCATTTTACTTTTTTCTAATTGAAAATGTGGTGGAAGCTGAAAAAAGAGGCACTGGATATCACACTAAAAATATTAAAACCCATTTTTGATTAAAAGAAAGCCTAATAATTTAAACAAGGGTTACAAAACAAATTAGGCAATAAAAACATTCTGAGTACTTTTATTTGTGTTAATTTTAAGACTAGGATCAAAACCGACCTCAAACACCATGAATGGTATTAGAAAACTAAAACTACAGGAAGGCTAAGAATGTGCTCATCATCCTCAGTTAGAGGCTCACTTGGATTTGTTAGTTAGAGGTGACTGAGGATTTGCATGTGAAGGAAAAGCTAATGAAATTTGCCAAGGTTAATAGTGTTTGGAAGGAAAATTTGTAGTCATAGGGATTATGCCATTAATGGTGGAACAGTAGCTTGATGGACAGCCTCCTCTCCTGTAGCTGGTCAGGTTCAATCAATCAATCAAATTTTATTTGTATAGCACATTTCAGCAGCAAGGCATTTCAAAGTGCTTTACATAATTAAAATAAAAACAGCATGTAATAAGCAGTGAGAAAGAGAAATAAAAAGCTGTAGAACTTTAGTTGAGACGCCGTCAACTGGGACTCCAACCCTTTGGACTTTAGTCAAAACGCCGTTTGACAAGGACTCTAACCTTTCGGAAACAGTGAGAAAGAGAAATAAAAAGAAATTAATAAATAGATAAAAAGAAAAGATAAAAACATTAAAAACATCGAAGACATCACAACCCACACTCTAACCCTAATTTAGCCATAAGCAACTCTAAACAGGTGGTTTTAAGTTGAGATTCCACTGTAGGTTGGCTTTTCACACGCCTGAGAGCTTATGAGTCCTGACATGTTGGCTCTGTGTATAGAAATCAATGCACTATGTCATAGTGCTGCACTTCAGTGTTTATAGAAACACAAGGCATGAACTGCTGTACGTCACTAGAAAGTGCAAACTGAGTGCATTTAATATTAAACACGGATAAGTATGTACTACTTTAATGATTTATAATGATATTTTGTGTCTTATCTTTTAGTTGATTTTGCAGCAGTTTAAGCCTGGTAAGCAACAGATGTGTATTTGAAAAGGTTTATTTTATGGCTTATATGGATCAGGCCTGATCTCTAGTTTCCAGCTGTAATAACTGAAGCTGTGTGTTGACTCTAGTTCAACACACAGCTTCTCTTGTGTTGAAGCTCCACGGATAATAACTTAAGTTTTGTTTCTGTTCGGCTGAAGAAAGGCATAACAGTTCTAAGTATCTGCTTGTGCTTAAATGGCCAATTGTTAACAATGTTAAGTAGAGAAGCATATCATCCATACGGTTATAATAACTACATTAAGTTATAATCTGAGCTAGTAGAAATGTGGATATTAAGTAAGAGGACATGGACTGGTAGAAAACACATAATTACTTTGTATTAGTATTTTTCACTGTTTTCATGAAAACATGTTGACTCTTGAAGTTTTTACCATATGGCTTTCCTAAACACACATGGACAAACATATCAAGTGTTTGTGCTTTGTCCCTTCATATGGGTCTGTCTAATTCTAAAATGTCTTTTGTGACGTACTGAGGTTTTAAGTCTTCTGAAGCTCTTTGTTTGGAAAAACAAAAATGAATCTCATTGTTTGCTCATTTGAATTTTTTCTCTCTGTACAACAGATATCAGTCTCTGGGTCTGTAAAGATGCAATAAGGGCCAGCAACAACATTTAATGTCAACATACAATTTATATTATTGATTTAAATTTGGCTTATCATTCATTATCTGATTTCTTTTTTCACCTTGTAATTGGACAGTAAAACATAAAAGGGTAACACTTTATTTGAAAGGGGTGAATAAGACTGACATAACACTGTCATAAACATGACATAACACCTGTCATGACCATCAATAAGCCTTCATGAATATTTATGACTGTTGTCATAAAGCGTCATTCGGTAAATTATGACTTTTAATACAAAGTTGACATTATTCAAAATGTCTTTGTTATGACAACTTGACATTAACCAAGAAATCATTACTGATATAAATTTGTTATAAAATAATTACTGATTTCATTTTAAAAATGAGGTAACTTTATGTTATTAAAGGTAAAGTTTAAACAGTAATGATTTTCTGGTTAATGTCAAGTTGTCATAACAAAGACATTTTGAATAATGTCAAGTTTGTATTGAAAGTGTCATATTTTACCGAATGACGCTTTATGACAACAGTCATAAATATTCATGAAGGCTTATTCATGTTCATGACAAGTGTTATGTCATGTTTATGACAGTGTCATGACGGTCTTATTCAACCCCCTTCAAATAAAGTGTTACCCATAAAAGAATTTGGTTTGGCTTCACATGATTAATATTGGTCTCAGTTCTAAATATTATTAGTTTTCCTCGTTTATTTCATTGTTTTTCAGCAGATATCTAAGGAGGTGCTGTACGGAAGTCACAGTCCGATCCACAGCAAGCATTCATCCGGCCGCAACACCCTGCACAGTTTGCAGGGATCAATGTCCCCACTGATGGTCCGCTCCATGCCCTCCTCTCCTTCCAGACCGGCTTATGGTGGAGGTGGCTTCCTCAGAAAAATAGGAATGGTAGACCCAGGCGGTACCACAATTCCACATGAATGTCAGCCTGGGCGAGGGCGGTCCAGCACCGTGTTCTCCAGCAGTAGTGCCATACTGGAGAGAAGGGATGTAAAGCCTGGTGAGAAGCTGGTTATTGTAATGAGCCACCAGGGTGTGGAAGAGTTCAGAGGCTTGGCAAAAATAATGAACCAGACGCCTGCAACATTCAAGATAAACTAATAAAATTATTTATTTCGAACTGTGGACAATATACATTAAACAATCAAAATATATATGCACATAATGAATATAATCAAATATGTGCCTTTATGACACAAGATTGTTGAGGATCCAAATGCAGGAAGAATTATTAAAATGATTGAACTGAATCACTGAATGAAAAAATATAAATATTTAAGAAGAAGAAAGTATACCATAGAGGTGCCATACTGTAGAACATTTAAAGGTCAGAAATAAATAAGAACTTTTGTAAATATTATATGAATAAATAAACTGGCCAGCAGCCCAAAACCAGCTAGAAGCCTACAGGGGAGTTACTCCTTCAATCTATTTTCAATAATCTTGGTATGATTTGCATTTGCAGCATCACTTAGCTGTAATGCACTCTCCATCAGGTTTTACTAAAACATCTGCAATTCGAGTTTGTTGAACCAGAGATCTGGTGTGTGAAGCTCAAATTGAACCTTTTCTCTTTTTCAGTTCTTTCAGTCACGTGACAGTGATGTGAATTTAAAATCTAAAAGTGGTTGTCACAGTAAAAGCAAAGCCTTTAAAAACAACAAATTTGACAGTGTCATGATGTGGTGTGGTTTAGAAAATTTAATTAACAAAATAAGAGTCTAACTTATGAAAAATGAACATCCAAGGGAAACACAAAAACAAAACCAAAACTGAAACACGAAAAGATTCTAAGGAACACAGGGGGAATGACGAGCATGGAGACAAACAGGGTAACAAGACGGACTGGCGAGTTGTGACTGAAAAAGAGGAGCTTAAGTACTGGGAGGTAGTAATGGGAACAATGGCCTAAATGAGAAGAGTGATAGCAGGTGTGAGTAATTTGGCACAGCAGCTGGCTGAGGGCTGGGGAGGAGGTGGCACAGGGAAACTAAGGAGATCTGCTGGGAACACAAACGGGAGGAAACAGGGAACTGAAAAATACTTGTAATACAAAAGACACTAAGAGTAAAGAAAACCTGATGGACTAGGAGAGAAAGATATGAGGGAAACCGAACCTAAATAGAAACAAGGCTGATCTAACAATAAGAACTAAGGAACACACAGCAAGAGAAACTAGAAGATCTAAACAAAGAAAAACCCAACTAGAATTACTAAAGAAAGATACAGACTCAGACATGGAAGAATAACTGAACCTATGGTGATCAAATTAAGAAATAAACATTATTAGAAACCCTGCAGGGAGGCTGAAATAAGAAATAACTAGAGGGATAAAATAGAATTAAACTATAGTCATTAAAGAAGGCTGGACATGGACTCAGACAAACAAGGACAGAACCTAAAGCAACTAAAGAATAAGCATAACACTATAAAGGACTGGAAATAAGGAAAGCAATAAGACAATTCTAATTACATTAAATACCTCAAATAATAATATTATCAAAAGGACCATGAAGGGCTAAACTAGAGTGAACTAAAACATAAAGCTAAATAACATGAAAAGCAAAACCAACCCAAAAATCCAGACAGTTTAAATCTAACTGAGAAGGTAGGGCCTACAAACGTAAGAAAATAGGCATGTACAGGTTAATAGTTAATAGAGTAACAAACATGGACTAATCAACAGTAGGTTACTCATCTAAACATGGAGACAATGTGTGATAGGGCAGCATTGAACAGAAATAATGGAGACGATTGAGAAAACCAAGACTACACAACAAAATGAAAGAAAATATTGAAAAGCCCAAAGATAACAATGAACGGAGATTGATATCAAATCAGGGAATCATTGGCTGTCTTTGTTTGGAGCTATTTTCCAGTAACAGCCAAACTGATTTCTTAGACAGAAAAAAAGGTCTGGTGCAATTTAAGTCAGTTTGAAAGTAGAGTTGTAAACCTCTTCCTCATATTTCCAATAGGAAAATACTACTACCTGAAAATTAATAAATGCTGATACTAATCTTTTCTGTTATTAGAACTTGATGTATTTTTTTCCTCTATGAATTTAAATTGTAGCAATTCTAGTGAGAATATTTTGCAAGGATCTTTAGGTAGAAATTTCTACCTGCATGATTTCTAAAAGCTGAACTTTGTGCTTGTAATCAATACATAAAGCTCAGATCTGCACTTCTTTCTGCTTTAAAAACGTTTTCATGGGCCTCTGTGTGTTTATGTGTGTGTGTTAGACGGAGACTTGAGTAAAAGCACAGCCTTGGTGCTGCGTGGAAATGGTGGATCACATTACCCTGAGTACTACCGTTCAGCCTCAGTGGAAGTAGGAAGAGGTCACCACAGCATTTCCTCCTATTGTAGCAGTCCTCCCATGCTAACTGGAGGAACAGCGGAGGTAGGGGTGCTTGGGATCCCTGGTGGGCTGCAACAGCACCGAGCCTCAATCAAACCCCTGATGGTCCATGGGGAAAGCAACTCTCTTCACAGGTAAGCTGACTTCCTTAACTATCACTTTGAACAGCTACATTGAAGCACTGAGGGAAAGAAACAGATGCTAAGTACATGCTGACTCTTTTAAAAAGTACATGTGCATACACTGTCCTGATTAGCCCTCCTCTCATCAACTGAATTATATTAGAGGAGTTTTCCCAGGTTTATTCAGTCTCTCAGTAGTATGTTCAAGGTTAACAATACTTTGCAGACTTTGTTTTCAGAAGAACTTCATACATATACAGTGGCTTGCAAAAATATTCATACCTCTTGAACTTTTCCATATTTTGTCACATTACAACCATAAATATTTCATTGGAATTTTATGTGAGACTAACAAAAAGTGGCCTACAATTGTGAAGTAGAAAGAAAGTTATACATGACTCAAAACATTTTTTACAAATAAAAACTTTACAGTGTGGTGTGTAAAAGTATTCACCCCCCTTTTTTCTGAGTGCAACCAGTTTCCTTCAGAAGTTTCCTGATGTCCTGATGACTGAACAGAGTCCACATGTGTGTAATCTGATCTCAGTAGAAATCCAGCTGCTCTGTGATGCCTCAGAGGTTCAGAGAATATTGGGGAGCAAACAGCATCATGAAGTCCAAGGAACACAGCAGACAGGTCAGGGAGAAAGCTGTGGAGATGTTTAAAGCAGACTTAGGCTGTAAAAGGATTTCCAAGGTTGAACAAGGAGAGCTCTGGTCAGAGATGCAGCCAAGAGGCCCATGGTGATTCTGGACCAAAGGCAGAGATCCACAGCTCAGAGGAGGAATCTGTCCACAGGACAAGTATTCGCCATCACTGCACACAAATGTGATGTTTCTGGAAGAGCGGCAAGAAGAAAACCACAAGAAGTCCAGCTATCCACCTAATCTGACTGAACTTGAGCTTTTTGCAAAAAAGAATGGGCAAAAATTTCTGTCACAAGATGAGCAGAGCTGGTAGAGACAAACCCTGAAGACTAGCAGCTGGAATTGCAGCAAAAGGTGGTTCTGTAAAGTATTGACTCAGAGGGCTGAATATTTTTACACTCCACACTTTTAAGTTTTTATTTGTAAAAAATGTTTTGAGTGTATAAATGGAAGTAGAAGTAGAAAGAAATGTATAATTTTCTTTCTACTTTACAATTGTTTACCACTTTGTTTTGGTCTGTCACATTCAATTCTAAAGAAATGTGTTTATGTTTGTGGTTGGAAAGTGATAAAATATGGAAAATTCCAAGGGATATGAATACTTTTGCAAGCCACTGTATAATGCATACATTATACACACATGCACACATTCTTTGCATTGCTGATGCAATGCAAAGAATGAAATTAGCTAAGCAGACATTTTGAAAACATTAAATCCAGTGGTCTCTTCATAGTACTTGTACTTCACTGACAGAGAAGGCTTAACCTTAATTATATCCAGTAAACCTCTGGGAGTTTCTAGTTTTCATAATTAGCATTGTTATGAACCTGAAAATGACTTTTATGGGAAAATTTCAGATGTAAGGGAAAAGAAACACATGAAATTAATAAGCTGGATCTGTTAGAATTCCAGCTGGGGACTGTCCACACTCTGGACATGAGGACAATGTTTGCACTGTTTGTGAATCAATCTAATATTTATTTATTTGTCTATTTGTTGTCCCGTTCTATCAGACAGAAGAACAGGAAGTATGGAGACAGTCAGATTCATTCACTCGGATACAAAAGTCCTCCGCCCTCCCCTCACAAAGGGAATGAAGTCAGGATGTTCAATGGACAGGTGATTGGAGGTGCAAGCCAAGTGTCTCCACAGAGTATGTCACCTATTCACCGCTCCCTAGAACACAACAGTAGTGGGCTCACAGTGGATGTAATAAACAGAAGAGGCTCATCATCCTCTACCTCATCAGTATTTCTTGACAGTCCTCTGGGTCAACCTGAAACTCTTTTTCCGGCCCATATTACTGCTTGTAATGTCCAAAGGTGAGCCTGTGCCTTATGTTATCATATTTATATACAGTGTCACCTCACTGCATTAGTTTGTATTAGTCTGTACAGATGAAGCTTTTAAGGCATTTTAACTGAGGTTTGAATTCAAGGTTTTCAACCAGCAACTATCACAGGACATATAACAACCCCTCTTCTTTTAAACAGTACTACTTAAAGTTACAATAATGACTTAAATCACTCATGTTACACTCAGTAAAATACCATTGACTACCAATAATTAACAGGAATAAACACGTCAGATGATTTCCTAAATGGTTGGCAAAACTGAAAGAGGGAAGGCAGGAGTCGACCTTGCTGCTGGAGGCAGTTAAAGCAAGTATTGGTCCCAGGCAGTGAAGAGAAGAAATAGATCGCTGGATCTGCAAAACCAGTCAGCTGAAGCCAAAGAGTAAGGGAGGAGTCAAAGGGCATCACTTCCTTGCTCAGTGGGAGCAGAATCCAAAGAGAGAGATGTGAACATAGACCATTTTCTTGTGTCCACGTAGCTGAAGGCAGTCCTTCAATATCCATATTAAATCAAGCAGTCAGCTACAGGGCAGAGACACGTAGCTATACATGCTTGCTCTCTCAGACACAGTATGTGCAATTTAAACAGATTAATTCATTTTGAGGTAATTTACCACATATGGATATCTTTGTACTGAGAGAGGAGGCCACAGTGTCCAGGGAATGAATGTATGAGTGATTCAGAATGTGTTGTTTACGTCACATCCAGGAGAATTTGATATAGTCAGCCTGCCAAGCCCAACTCTGATCCAGATAGTAGCAATTGTTTTGGGTCAGGCAGGCTCCATGAACTTTCACTTGCCTTAGAGTCTCACTGGTGCAACTCATTGGTGAAATTTGAAACACCTGAAATATGGTCAGTCCAGTTGAGCCACGCGAGTAACTTCTCCAGTGACGTTTTCATCTCGCCAGGGAGTTACATGTGGCCTGTCACTCTCAGCAAGAGTCACATCCAGTTTGTGGCTCTGGTCAGCCTCATAAGGCAGTCTCTCAAAGGCCCAAACAGCTGCTGATATTTTCCAAATTTCACAATGTGCCAGGTAAATGCCAACTCCAAAAAACAGAAACCCAATTATATACACATCTTCAACATCCTTGACCGACAGTATGGACAGACACACTGTCTTCCACTTCCCCCAGGAATCCAGAGTGTATCCACCACCATGTGTCCCATCAGGGCAAGAGGGCTCTCCTTTGCCCAGTCTTCTTGTCAAGGAAATTTGATTCATTGCATTGAGAGACCAGCTGACCAGATCCATAATTTGCAAATTCAGAAAATATGCAAAGAGAGGCTCAGAAAAGAATAGCCAGACTGGACACAAGAGCAAAGAGTAGGGGCAGATGAGGGAGGATTGAACAGAAGAAAAAAAGCATCCACTTTCACGGAGAGCAAGACGAAAAAAATGCAGAAAGAAAGAAAAACAATATATACACACAATGTATTTCAAGGGAAGGGACATGTCAAGATGGAAACAGCAGTCTGTGTGTTCATGGCTCTAAATAGCATCTCATGGTATTATATGCTTTCAACATGGTTTGTTTTGTTGAAACTAGAACATTTTTTGAAATAAATATCAACACATGGTCAAATGTATTTAATAAAATATGGTACGTCATCTCTGTAGCCTTAACAGGGGAGTCAGTCCTGTCATGTATTAATGCATCTCAATACTGTACCTGGTGCTGCCATTTATTTTATTGCCGACTAACAACTTACTCACCTGAATTTAGCAGCAATTTAGCAGCTTTTAATAAACAAAAATGCTCCAATGGATTGAATATGAATTAGTTTTTTTGTTTTTTGGGGGGTTTTTTACAGTGAGAGAATGAGAGCCATGGAAGAGCAGATAGCCAGTCTAGCAGGACTGGTGCACCACGCTCTGTCCATGAAGTCAGATGTTCTAGGACAAAAGGACCTTATCAGGTTTGTCTGTCTACAGAAGGTGCAATTTACCACAATATAATAATTAAAGGTGCAGTAATATTTTACATCAACCTTTTTGATGGTTGATGACTTCTTGTCATCATGTTATTCCCTCATCAAACACTTACCTTGAGTGTTGCTTTGATTCTTTCATCCATGTTTGAGAAATTGTTTAAGGCCATGGTGACCATCCAGCTGTGCAAAACACCTGAGCGGATCTAGCGCTGCCTTCGAGACACAGCTCCTCCTCACAGCTGCAGTTTCTAAGCCCAAATTTAAGATGTTAAATATGAAAGTCATATTTCTTGTATGTCATATTTAACATATATATGTAGCAATTTTATAACAGCTGAAGGTAATAGTTACTTGATTGTATTACGAAATGGCACTATGTGCCTGGAAAACACATAATACTGCCTCTTTGAAGTAAAAATACATTTTTATTTATAAATGGGTATATCACATAGTACTAACTTTGAATAGCTTCATTTAACCTTTCTGAAAATAGTGTGAATTTGTGTTTTCTAGTCAGAGTCCTGAAGACAAACTCCTCAGCAATCGACTTGGTGAGAAGTTATTTTCAGGGACACCTGCTACCTAAGGCATACTTGTTTTCTTCAGAACATCCTGAAGATGAATAAATCTTCTTTCTTGACTTTCAGAGGCATTATCTGAGTCAAAGATGACTGCTATGACTGAAAGCTCCAGCCCCACTCCTCTCGCCCTCGGGGTCGCTCCCTTTGATGGTGGACTGCGACACAACTTGATGTCTGTGAAGAGACATATTTGTGAGCTGCGGCTGCAACTCAGTCAACTCAAGTGTTTACAGGTACTAAGCTAAATATTTCAATACTGCATTGAGAGTTATCACAAGTATTTCTTTAAAATCCAACATACTGTAACTTGTTATCCATTTTTCATCAATTTTTTACTTATTCTGTGCATCACCACTAACATGTGGTGAGCCACCCAAGAGAGTAATGGGTTGCTATAACAGCAATAATTTGGGTTATTCAGTCTATTATAAGAGAAAAAAGGGTTAAATTTTCAAAGAATATGAGAAACCTAAAATATTACTAAATTTACTTGCTGTTAGGCTCTTGAATCATTTGTTTTGGGTTTTGTTATTTGTGTTCTTTAGTTTCTTATCTCTGTTAGATCTGCCTTGTTTCTCACTAAGTCGCAAAGCTGGCAACATTCCCTTATCTTGATCACAACCACACTTAAACCCTCTGCTCATCCGTACATTTGGGCACGCCCTTCAGAATTTCTTGGCACCACCAACTTTGGGGAAAAAAGAATATCTGAGGTTTTTTTTAGGAAAGCTGTGAGTCAGAGGAAGGTGGGATGTCTGTATGGCTGGAGACAGGAGAGGATGATGATGAGCTTGTTCCTGAACTGCACCTGTTGAAGAATGCGTTCATCTCTATCCAGACTTCCATCTGTCTGATCCTCCTTTTGCTTGAACCCTTATCACACATCTCTCATATTGTTCCTCTTCAGTTTATTCTCCAGCTTCTTCCAGTACTTCTCTTTGCTGTCTCTAATCTTGACCTTGAGCTTCTTCTGCATACTCAATAACTCTCTGTCTCATTCCCTGAAGGCTCTGTGTTTCTGGTTTAACAGTTCCTTTAGGTCACTGGTGATCCAGTGACCACTATTCTGGTGGGGATGGTTCTGTCCACACAGAAGTTTATATAGTCAGTCGCACACTCAGTCATGGCACTGATGTCATCTCTATGTGGCTGGCAGTGAGTAGTCCAATCAGTTGCTTCAACTGATTGAAACAAGCCTGGAGGACCTCTTCTGCATTCTGTGACCATTTCGTAACATCCATCCTAACAGCTAGCCTCTTCACCAGGGGTTTGTATTCAGAGAGGAGAAAAACAAGATTATGTTCCGATTTCCCCAGAGGAGGACATTAGTGTAAAACAGATCCAAAATCTTGTTTTCGCGGGTGGAGCAGCTGACAAACTAGTGAAATGTTGGCAGTGTAAAAGAGAGTGAGGCATGATTAAAATCATAAGATATTACCACAAATATGCTCTTTAAATCTCTGTCTGCTCATAAAGCCTGGCAGAGAGATGTTGGAGTTGGGGATACAATCCTGCAGCCATGTCTCCGTAAACCACATTATTCTGCATTCCTTATACTCTTACGTAGTCCTTGTCAGGGTTTGAGGTTCATCCATCTTATTAGCTAACAACCTCACGTTGCCTATGACGATGGACGGTAGAGATGGTTTGAACTTCCTCCTTCTCTCTCTCCTCTTTGCTCCTGCCCTGCATCCATGATGCCTCCTTTTCAACTCCACTGGGATTTCTGGCTTCAGCTGTGGTACTATTTCAGCTTTTCAGATGTTGAACAGCTGCCCTCTGTTATAAACCACTTTGTAGCTTTGGTTGCACATCTTAACAAAATGGGAAAAATAAAAATATTGCCAAAAATCAGTCCAACCACACAAAATTCAAAACAAGAAGGTATAGCTGTCCAAATAAGTTATTTTCCTCCAAAAAAAAAGCAGGAATGAATGTGTGAAAAACATAAAAAATCTCAATGAAGCACAGCTACTCCAACATGCTGGCTCTGTCAGCAGCACAATTCTGGAATCAGCATGTCTAGACGTAAGCAGCTGATGTCAGGCAACCACATTTTCTGTGTCTTCCAGCTAGCCAACATGGAGAGTGTGAGTTCAATGCTGCGTATGGCAGGTCCGGAGCTGGTGATATTGATGTGTGAGAAGCTGGCCCAATTTGAGGATGCAGCATACAGACAGAGAGCTGAGATGGATGAGGACAGGATCCGCTACCTCACCTCTGAGGAGAAAATCCTCACACAGCTTAGGTAAGTGTGAATTTTCAAGATTAGTTATATATTTAAACTCTTAAAGCTTCTGCCAGGTATTCCACAAGTGAGCATTTTAATAATTACAAAACATTTACACCAGTAATAAAGCCATCCTGCTGGACCAGACCTAAGAAGTCATCAAATTATTGAGTTTAATTTTACTTCAGTTAATATGTTTAGGCTGGAAACAAATTATTTAGACATATAATAGGTTTCAAATGCTGAAAATGCAAATGCTGAACAAGAACTTCAGCATTTGCAGCTTGATGCAGAAAGGTGGTTATCTCGCCTGGTCACTGCCTTCCTATACAATTACACTTGATTCAAATCTCTTCACAGACAGTCTGGGCTTTCTAACATTTATTTGATTTCTACCATTAAATTTTCTACTGGCCAATCAGTGAACAGAAGAAGTTGTGAATGATGATGTTGATTTTATGCAATGGTTTAGAATTGCAGTGTGTTTGTAGTTTTAGCAATTGCAGCATATTTGGAAGCAAGTTGGTCACACTTCCAAATATGTAATTAATGTTAACGGTCACCTGGCTCAGCACGGCGCTCCTCGATTCACAGTGGAGGATGGTTGTTTACAGCAAAAGCAATTTGTGGTAAGCTTCATAGGGCCAAACTGGTACCAAACGTTAGCGATGGGGTGAAATTTAAAACTTCAACAGAGGTCACGTTTCTCAGGAAGCCACCATTTCTCAAAATCTCAGGGCCCAGACCCTGCGCATGAAGCAAAGCGTAGAACGAGACACTGGTTTTTACCAGGCCAGTGGTTACCCTGTCTCTCACTATGGTCAGAGCCCTTTTCCTATACTGGCTCTGCAGAAGATTTAACATACCTTCCCTTCTCAAAGTCCTGTATTGTCTACTGTATTGGAGCTTGAATGTGAGATGAAGAATACATACATTCTTTATCACAGCTCAGTAGAATAATGTTGTTAGAAGGGATTTTGTTTCTGTCATGTTTGAGTTCAGTTTCCTGACTCACATACAGAACACCAGAGGAGAGTAGATAAAATGATTCTGTTTATTAGATGCAAATTAATAAACAGAATTAACAGATGCATTCTGAACTGGATAAGCAGGGGTTTGTGTGATTCTTTTCTCTGCGGAGAAGAGGGAGAAATCAGTGAGGCATTCAAGGTACATAGGATTTGTCAGACCAGTAGGACGGAACGTTCTTACTTCAGAATCGGAGGAGCTTCGCTTGGGGTGAGGAACTTGCGGGTTCTGGGGGGGTTTGGATTCTTCACAAAGGAAGGGGGTTCCGATCCTGAGTTCCAGTGGAGTGGTAGACTGAGGATTCCTGGAGGAGGCACCAGAGGCTGCATTGGAGGGAGGACAGGTAGGTTCTGACTCGGCGGAGAGGACTGGTGGCCAACGGTGAATCGGGAACTTTGACTAACGTCTTGACAGGAGTAGATGAAGGAGAACTTGGGCATCCGGTCGTTAACAACCACAACATCACAAGAAGGATTGCAGGTGAGTAGCTTCTCCCAGTCAGCACAGGGGGAAGGCTCAGAACATGCAAGAGCGTTTCAAAATAGACAAACACTCAGGTGTCAAAGAGGTGTCGGAGAGTCTACAGGAGTAGACACACCTGGAGGGTCGGCAGATAAACTCTCCACGGAGCAGCTTCCGGTCGCCATCTAGTAGTGAGAACAAAGAAGCAGCAGGCAAAAAAAAAACCCTAAACAACTCCAGAACCAGACAGTTTCCATCCATCCATCCATCCATCCATCCATCCATCCATCCATCCATCCATCCATCCATCCATCCATCCATCCATCCATCCATCCATCCATCCATCCATTTTCTATAAACCTTCATCCCTAGTGGGGTCAGGAGGGTTGCTGGTGCCTATCTCCAGCTAACGCTCCGGGTGAGAGGTGGGGCCCGACAGTTTCCATTTTCTCAAAATATTCAGTCTCTGCCAAGCCATTTCAGCTTGATGCTTCTCCCTTTCTACAGGATGGTTCTTAATCCAGTGAAGGGTGTGCTAATGTCATGACTGTCATGAGCCAGTTATCCATCCATTTTCTAACACCCTTGTCCCTAGTGGGGTTGGGAGGGGTGCTGGGGCCTATCTCCAGCGAACGTTTTGGGTGAGAGGCGGGGTCACCCTGGACAGATCGCCAGTCTGTCGCAGGGCAATGAGCCAGTTAGTGCCAGGGAAAATGAATGGCTGCTTTGCAAAAACCAATCAATAGTGTGTTAAGCATCATTGTGCCTAGGCATTTCAGCCTTCTAAGCTGCAATTTGTTTTGAATATTTTAGATATTCAAAACAAATTGC